GCGGCGGGATGCGGCCCCTCAGCTGCCCCGACGCCAGCAGCCAGCTCTCTGAGCTTTCTGAGTCAGGAAGGGGGAGGTGAGTTCTTGACTGTGGCACTCAGCACTGGCGCCCCCCCTCCCGCTGCATGTCCACAACCACTGAGGACACACACTCATGTTGTTCGTATGCACCAGAGATGCGGACGAGGCTTGGACTGTGGCCCCCACCTTGGCCCCTCCTCTGTCTCACTCTCCAGTTCTGCCATTCATCTGGAGTGGCTCCCCTCCTCCCCAGCCTGCTCCTCTCCTCCCCACCTATCTCTGGGATCTCCATTTGAAATCCAAGTGACCTGGGCCTATGCGGAGCCATGGTGGGGTATGTGAAATGGCCCTAGACCCTCAGGGCTTTGTGTCCTTGAGCAAAGCACTCCTTATCTCCTCATCTCAGCCTCTAACAAAGCACCTGGTTCAAATTAAGCAAGACAAAGTTAGACAAAGGCTGAATGCGGTCGACATGGACCCTTCTCCGTGGTTTGACCTGCATTAGTACTAAACGCGGAAGGACTTAGAACAGTGCCCGACAGGAAGCGTGCTGCGAAAGTGTGCTGTCACCACCACGAGGGTCAATGTGCTTGTCCTCCATATCCCTGGTTCTGACATTTCCGTCAATTATACATTAGTTCTCACTCAAGACCCTGAATAATCTTTTACGCCGTACCAGTGATGGTGATGATAGGAAAAGGGGAACTTTTATTCTTTCCATTCCCCTGCACCTCAGCAGGAGGGCAGCCGCAGCACACGGAACGCTCCTGGTTCTCTGAACTTCTTGATGGAGTTGGGTGTGCCCAGCCGGAGCCAGAGCTGCATGGCCGTCTCTGCTTAGTAGGGAGAGGACTTAGAACTCTCAGGGACTTGGAGGGAGCCAAGGATTCAGAGGGCCCAAGGTCCCTCCGTGACCCTAGATGACCGGAAAGGCTTACGAAAGCTTGGCATGAGTGGGTGCCGCCTGCATCCCACTGAGGGCCGGCCCAGTGCCAGGGAGATGCATGTGCAGATGCAGAGGATGGAGGGGACATTATCTTTCCCTTCGTTCCCCCCGCCCCGGGAGCTAGCGGAAACATGGACGCGGGGGCAGGTAGGGGAGCCAGCTCTTCCAGGACACAGATGTGACTCTGGGTTCCACCCAGGACGTGTGTTCAGGGCCTTCTGCATGCTGGGCACTGAGCGCTGCCCATGGGTGGGTTCTGGGGGCCAGAGCGCCCAGGTCTAAGTCTCTGCCTCTCCACGTGCTACTTGTTTGGCCTTGGAAGTTACTTGCCCTCTTTGTGCCTCCGTTTCTTCACCTATAAGAAGGTTTTTAACTCGTTGGTCCATTAATTACCATTAAATTGAATGAAACGAGTCAGTCCCTGCAAACTGCTTAGAGCACACCGAGGTGCTCGGTGTTCAGTTGTCGCTGCATTCAGCCTCACCCTGGCCCCCGGCCCTCGCAGTAGGCGTTCTGAGTCTGTGTACTTGATGAATTAGAAAATGAGGGCCAGCCAGGGGCGTGGTGGTGAAGGCAGCTGGGTCCCACAGGACTGACTGCGTGGTTCAAGTACCACACCTGGTGACTTGAAAAACACACCAGGCGTGTGTATGTGTGTGCATATGTGTGTGTGTGCGTGCCCAAAGTTCCACGAGGAAAATGGAGGAGAGGGATTTCAGTGTGGCCATCCCCCTGGGTGGGAGAGCTTTTTCTCTCACTCTCAAAACAAAACAAAACAAAACAAAACAAAACAAACAAAAAATGAAAGAAAAAGAAAGACAACGGAGGCACAGAGAGGGTAAATATCTTGTCTAAAGTCACAAAGCATGCAAATGATAATGAGCCAAAGGCTCAGAAGGTGAATCTGGGGGAATAATGTTCATTATTTCTCATGTGATCTCTGTGTGGCTTAGGGGAAGTCATTCTCCACATGTGGGGCTTAAATAAGATGTTCAGGGGGCCTGGGACTCCGTGTCCATATGTCCCTCTGGACATGTTACCTGCCGTAACCTCTCTCTTGGCAGGGAATCTGTCAAGGCAACTATGTGTGAGACTTGGAGTCAGGAGACCCGTGTCGTCCCAGCTCTGTCCCATACCAGCGGAGTGATCGCCAACCAGTCCCTTCCTTTCCCTGAGTCTCAGTTTAAACTGTACAACAGTCAGCAACAGCCACTCAGAAGGGTCGGGGTCCCAAATGTGAGAGTTGGGCACACAGGAGTGACAAAGGGGATGGCACGTCTCCCCACAGGTCCTCAAGTTGTCATGCCCACTTGTGGTATAAGCTACAGGAGCTGTGGGTAAAGGGTCCCACTGGGGATGGGCTGAGGTTCTCTAATAACTCCCTACTTGGGCCCAACATACTGGCCCCTCACCCCTGCCCTGAGTCACCCCAGGGGGCTTCTGCAGACATGTTCACATTGAACAAAGCATCGTGTCTGCTCTTGAGTTTTCACAACCTGCCTCCAGCAGCCTCCCGGCCTCACACCCCACCATTCCTCCACCTGGGATTCAGCCCTGAGGGCCACACTCCCTCCTGAAGCTGCCTTATGCTTTCTGCCTCGCCGCTGACCCTCAGAAACCCTTGTCCACATTCACCTGTCTGCTCAAATGCTCTCGGTAGCTTAGCCATCATACACAGCTCACACTCTTATTTTCGGAGAGGTGTTTTTGCTAAAGGGCGCGTGCGCTCGCCAGACAGACAGAGAGAGACAGAGAGACAGAAAGCGAGCACCCCCCAGGGGGGATGGCCACGCCGCAATCCCTTCTCCTCCATGCTCCTCTTGGGATTTTGGGCACGCATGCACACGCGCCCGGCGTGAGTTTTAAGCCACCGGGTCCAGGACACGAACCGCGGTCGACTACACGGTAGTCCGGTGACATAGCCATTACGCTAACTGCTGGTCCCTCACACTCATTTTTTAAGACCCAGTTGGAGTCCCCTCCTCTGAGAAGCCTTCCAGGAATTCAATCTTTGTTCAGTTTCTGGGATCTTATTCTGTTAATCCTGCTATAACTCGTATCAAACACATCATTATTGCCTTTTCTCTCTCTTTCTCTTTCTCTTTCTCTCTGACCCTCCTCTTTCCTTTATTTACTTATTTAACTACTTGTTCATAGGTCTTGAGCTATTGAAGGGTAGAAATGACTTCTCTGTAGCCTTGGGCAGGTGGGACTCTTTGAGCCTTGGTTTCATTACCTATGACCTAGGACTGATGGTACCTAACTCAGATGAAGCAAACCAGGTAAGGCGATCAGGACTCACTGGCTGCCTCTAGATCTGCCACTGTGAACCTCACAATGTGGAGGGAGTGAGTTCAGAAGCCCATTGAGCATTTACGGAGAGCTTTGCACACGTCAGGAAGTCACTGAGTTCAGAGCTGAGCATCCATGGCCGCCTCAGCCCTAGATCCGCTCCGTAAGGAAGAGACCAGCGAACTCCTGTTGTACAGAGAAGGAGGCTGGGCTTCAGCTGTTGAGGACCTTGATGAAGGAAGCCCGGCTACAGGAGCTGGAGTTCATGGGGATCATTGGAGTGAACGAAGCATTCGGGGGTCCAGGTGAAGTGGGAGGGCAACTAACCTGCATATTACAACCATCGTTTCTGAGCTGGAAATGCTGAGGTAGCTTAGTCCAGGGCTATTTAATTTGGGAGCAGGAGCCGGATGGGTTCCCAGGCTAGACAGATAAGGTCCCTTCTGTTTCCCATGAACCTTTGCACTCCGCCCAGGACCTGCAGCTGCCCAGCTTGTCCCGTCGCGGCACCCTGCCAGGCATCCTCTCTGTGTGGCATGAGACTCAGAGGGGTCCACAGTTGCTGGGACATCCCCATTTCCCACTCGGGCAGGGTCAGGAGCTGACAGTTGGCACCAGTTCCTCCTCCCTGGGGGATGCTAGGAGAAGAGGGCGGGCCTGGGGCAGGGCAGAGGCTCAGGCCTGGGAGGCAGACACAGTGGGCTCCTAAGAACGACAAAGGTAATAACAGTAGCAAAGGCTGACATTTATTGAACACCTACTATGTGCCAGGCACTGTCCTAACCACTCGACACACGTGAACCCTCTTTATCCTCACAGTTCGAGGTAGCTTCTGGAATTAACCTCATTTGCCAGATGAGGAAACTGAGGCCCAGGGAAGCCAGTCAACTTGCCCAAGGTCAGGTGGCTGGCCCATGCCAGCGTCCAGGGTGCACTGGCTCAGGGCCCTCCGACAGGCCAGTGGCATCTCTGGGGGCCTTTCCCCATGCAGGTGCCACAGGATTCCACCTCATGGTTTCTGCGATGGTTCTGATGGTCTCTGTACAGCGACCTGGCACACAGTAGGGGCTTAGTAAATGTATGGCCTGTCTTTCCTCTTAACTCTGATGGGGAGAAACCTGGGGTAGGGGCATATCAGCAGCGTCTTCCCTCCAGCATTTTCTCCAAACAAAGCCACCCCCACTTCCCCTTCGGACCCCAGAGCCACGCAGTGCCTGGTCTCGTCTCAGTTTTAATGACGTTTCCCCAACTCTGGACCCCAAAGCTCTCCCCCATGGAGGGGCTGGAGGTGGGCAGGGTTGTCGCACAGTCCGTCCCTAACAAGCCCCCTGCTGTCCGGCCGCCCTGGGAGGGTGCGAGGGTTGGGGAGAGGGCGCGCGGGGGAGGGGGC